TTCCTACTGGCTGGATCTTCCAACAAAATAATGATCCTCAGCACACTTCAAAATCTACGAAGAAATGGCTTGCTGAATATAATGTAAATATCCTGAAATGGCCAAGTCAGTTCCAACATTTAAACCCAATCGAGAATCTGTGGTGTTATTTGAAAATTCAAATCCAATCGAGAGCTCCAACAAACATCCCGGATCTGAAGACCATATGCGAAGAATGGAACAAAATACCAACTAAAATTTGCCAATCATTAATTGAAAACGACAAGAAGAGGTTGGTTTCTGTAGAAGTGAATAATGGCTATTTTACAAAATATTAAATGAAGATTATTTATTCTTTTTTGTATTATATGAATATTTTTTCACCAATTAAAATGGAAAAATGGGATTTATTTCTAAATCAATTTTTTTCTCTTTTCTATGCATATTTAGTTATTATGCCTCAATGTACAGTTAATTATATGAAACGTATGTTTATTCATTAGTTGGAAATACAATAAATTAAAAACTTGTCTGTGTATGAATATTTGTTCCCCCCCCCCACTGTATATATACAGGGTGATTGAAAAGTAACTCCCTATTTTATGTATAATGAACTCATCTAACTATAATTTTTACAAGATTGGAGATTCCATCATACATAAAATAGAGAATTAAAATGGCGAAAATTTACCCATCGCACCCTCGTAGCAATTTTAAGAATGAGCAATCATTTGAACAATTTTTCCATGCACTACAAGGTCTGATCAAAAAGTATCAGACCTGTTGCTATGGTAAAGGAGCTGAAGTATGGAGAGGGAATCCGCTTGCTACAGATTGACTGTAAACTCTGTTGCACAAACACCCTAAGTTATAACGTTCTTGTTCACTTTTTTTTTATAATAGCTCTTGGAAGGAAAATGTGTAGAGTGTGGTTATCTTACTACACCACAGTGACAATGTCTTGTGGGGCAGTTTTGGAACAAGGACAACGTTCCCAGGTGTGGCAACCACCATATTCCCTAGATCTCGCCCCTTGCAACTTTTTTCTCTTTCCAAAAATCAAATCCCACTTGGAAGAAGAAATCCATGAGAATCTGATTAGGCAACTGCTCGCTATCTCCTAAAAGCAGTTCTAGGAATTCTTCCATCATTGGAAACGAGGCTGGATAAGGTGTGTGACTTCAGAAGAGGACTACTTCAAAGGAGTTTAAATGCTGAATTGATATGTATTGTAGTTTTTTTCTTTTTATAGCACCAGCCCCAATCCTTTTTTGATCCAACCTCGTACACACCCACCCACACACACGCATGCACACACACACACACACACACACACACACACACACGCACATATATATATATATATATATTAAAACTCAGTAAATTTAAAAATAAGTTATTCCAATATTCGCTTGAAGATGAAACGGAACTAATGCTTTTAAATATAATTATATATATATTTTCAGGACAACGTTCTTCAGCAACTACAACACTGTCCTTTTCAGGACAACATTTTTCAACAACTACAAAACTCTCCTTTTCAGGACAACGTTTTTCAACAACTACAAAACTCTCCTTTTCAGGACGACAATTTTCAGTGATAACAAAACTGTCCATTTCAGGACACCGTTCTTCAGTGACTACAAAACTGTCTTTTTCAGACCAATGTTCTTCAGTCCTTTTCAGGACAACATTATTTAGCAACTACAAAACTCTCTATTTCTGGACAACGTTCTTCAGCAACTGCAAATCTCTTCTTTTTATGACAATGATTTTTCTCACCCTCTACTTCAACATTCAGAGATATTTTTCCCTAGTGCACTGTAAACTTATTTTTGTTGATGCATTTTTTAGCAAAAATAAACTTAGCAATATATTTTTTACTCAATTATTTGTTTTGTTTGTTAATGGCATTTTAAGTTTCCTTCAACTGAATTGCAGTAAAATTTTGAATATATAAGAATTAAATATTACAGAGGCAGCAGAATTTTAAAATACCAAAGTGGGACATGCCCCAAAATCAGTTTTCTGGCAAAGCAAATTTGACCTTTCAACGCAGGGCCAGTATATACTACACCTGAATGGCCTGACGTCAAGCCTGATTGGTGGTCCCGGGCAGTGCTTTGTGACCCTTACTATCTTATCAATACTTGCTTTTTTTCTACCTACATTTATATATGTTAGAAATTAAACTAATCACAACTGATTATTAAAGGATGAAATATTTTTATGAATTTTGCATGTCATTATGAATTCTTTATTTTGGGTCCAAATCTGTGAATTTGTTTTGCACAGGCTACGTCTCAAAGAAACACTATATAAAATTCACTATTTTTATTTTATCCATAATGTTGAATATGTAAAAATTATTCAACTTTTTAACAAGAAAAATGTCAAGTTAAAATTTCAAATTTCCAAAAATCTTTTTTGGATTTATTTATGACGGAATGATGTGTTATGACGTGGCTCTAATTCATATTTTATTTTCAATTTTTCTAGTCGAATCGTTTCACCTATATTGCATATGATCCATTATCATACATAATTAGGTTACATTAAAATTTGTATTTTATATGAATACTACCTTATGAAAATTGAGATATAGTAGAGTGGGGGGTACTCAATCATAGATTCAGGGGGTTCACGAGAGCCTTGCACCGGGCCTGTTTCAAGGGCATCGAGGTGAAGGAATTTCTAGTTTATCAGAGCCTGGGGAGACAATCAAAAGTTTTCAGTGTGACTAGACAACCGAATGCCTCAAGCCTGAATCGAAACCCAAACAATTTGGTGTCATTCAGAGCTTCTACCATTGAGCCATCTTCATTCAACAGAATGAATCAGTCAAATCTAGCATATTATTTTTACGAACGATAAACAAATGCCAAGCAGCCATAGTGCTCCATTCGTTTTACTGAAGAGCTTTGCATGTATGCAGGTGGCTGTTGTTTTTAGAATTAGCTTTTCAAGAGCTAAATATATATATATATATATTTCTGAACAAATTCCCGGTCAACTTTTGCTGATTACGCTAAAATTTCATGCATTTTCGCATAATTATCAAGTAAACAGCCTATATATTTTTAGAAATATTAATGATCTGCCATGGATCTTGTAAATACAATCTATCGTTAAAGAGGCAGGAAAAATGATCAGTACCACTCCAGCAAGTACCTGATTCCTCCTACTATTTTCTACCTTTACAAGAGCTAGATCTCGCAGTAAATGAAATACTGCTGTCATATATGGATGGGAGCTGCCCAGTCTTCCCTTTTCACTCTCAATAAAATCCAAAAGCTTTTGCAATATGAGCTCTGGTAATAACATGACTGATAACAGTAAAAATTGCAATATGAGCACTAGTAAAAAATGAAGGCTGAAGACATTAGGTTTATAATACCCAGAAATTCATACACAGATGTCCTCATGGCACAGTGGATAAAGGTGTTAGTTAAATCCAATGACAGGACCCAAAGAGTGTGAGTTCAATACCTGGTTAAGGCAGGATCCATTAGATCAAGAATAGTATAACGCAATTCGGCATTCCAATCACCTGAAAAAGACCATAGATATGCCAACAAATAATGTAAATGGAGTACATAATAATAATACCTCATCTCAGAAATATACACAGATACAGAAGGATTGGATAAATATGGCAACAAAGATGAGGACAATAGTCCGAATAATGTAAATAGTGTACATAATACCTCATCTCAGAAATATAGACAGATACAGAAGGATCGGATAAATATGACAACAAAGATGAGGACAATAGTCCGAATAATGTAAATAGTGTACATAATACCTCATCTCAGAAATATAGACAGATACTGAAGGATCGGATAAATATGGCAACAAAGATGAGGACAATAGTCCGAATAATGTAAATAGTGTACATAATACCTCATCTCAGAAATATAGACAGATACTGAAGGATTGGATAAATATGACAACAAACATGAGGACAATAGTCCGAATAATGTAAATAGTGTACAGAATACCTCATCTCAAATATAGACAGATACAAAAGCTTCTCACTTCTCTATTCCTATTTTCAAGGAGAGTGTTCGGATGAACTAAACTCATTAATTACACCATCAATAAAGATGAAGGAAAAATAGTCTATTCCCTGATCACTCCAGTAAGTACCTGACTCCTGCTATCTTTTACCTTTACAAGAGCTAGATCGGGTCAAAAATGGAGTACTGCTATCATATTTGGAGTGGGAGCTGCCCAGACCTAACTTTTCAGTCTTGATAGAGTTCAAATGTGTCTCTGCGTCCTTGTGGGTGACAAATTGTTTTCCACCCTAGATCTTCTCTCCCACAGATGAAATGTCATAAGCCTCTTGCTGATCTATCGCTATTTCCATGGAGAAGGTTCAGATGAACTACACTTTTTATTTCCACCAGTTCTAACTTTCATAGTTGAGATCCGCCCCGCTGTGCAAATTGTAGCGAATCACCCCACATTCTTTATATATTTCCCTGGTGAGATGTAAAGTCGACTGAAGCAGCTTCTTCCCCCTCAAGCCTTGTGAAACCAACTCCCAAGAGATTGCTTCTCCAATCACTACAATTGCAACCTTCCCAACTCTAGGGTTAGCCATTATCTTCCTCATATATCTGTATAAGCTGTGCCTCTTAATCTGTAATCCGCTATCTTGAGTGGCTCTCGGGCCTTGTACAGAGTGAACACCACTCTGAAAAATTTTCTCTTATCTCATCCATAAATTTCAAAACATATTTGTAAATCTTTTTTCATGTCTCTCATAAATATATTCAATCTCATGATCTCTTTGAATGTTATTTTTGTTTTTACTTTCAGGAAATAAAGAAAGACAAAAAAGGAAAGTATTGAAAGAGAGAGAGAGAGAGAGAGAAATAAAAAAAAGAGAAAGAGAGAGAAAGAGAGAGAGAGAAAGAAAAAGAGAATATGTATACAGAAAGGAAGGAATAACGAAAAAGAAAGAAATGAGAGAGAGAATGAACAAATATAGTGAAACCATAAAAGAAAAAAAGCTAAAGAAATACAGAGAGAGGAAATGAAAAGACAAAGAAAGAAAGAAAGAAAGAAAGAAAGAAAGAAAGAAAGAAAGAAAGAAAGGGATGAATTGTAAGGGAAGGGAGTGAGAGGTAGAAGGGAGAAAATAAAAGTAGAAGATGAAAAGGAAAGACTGAGGAGAAAAAAAAAAAGAAAGAAAGAAAGAAAGAAAGAAAGAAAAGAAAGAAAGAAAGAGAGAAAGAAAGAAAGAAAGAAAGAAAGAAAGAAAGAAAGAAAGAAAGGGATGAATTGTAAGGGAAGGGAGTGAGCGGTAGAAGGGAGAAAATAAAAAAGTAGAAGATGAAAAGGAAAGACCGAGGGAGAAAGAAAGAAAGAAAAAGAAAGAAAGAAAAGAAAAGAAAGAAAGGAAATAAAGAAAAGAAAGAAAGAAAAGAAAGAAAGGGATGAAAGTAAGGGAAGGGGAGGAAAAAGAAAGAAAGGAGAAAATAAAAGAAAGAAGATGAAAAGGAAAGACTGAGGGAAAGAAGGAAAGAAAGAAGGGAAAGAAAGAAAGAAAGAAAGAAAGAAGGAAAGAAAGAAAGAAAGAAAGAAAGAAAGAAAGGGATGAATTGTAAGGGAAGGGAGTGAGCGGTAGAAGGGAGAAAATAAAAGTAGAAGATGAAAAGGAAAGACTGAGGAGAAAGAAAGAAAGAAAGAAAGAAAGAAAGAAAGAAAGAAAGAAAGAAAAGGGATGAATTGTAAGGGAAGGGAGTGAGCGGTAGAAGGGAGAAAATAAAAGTAGAAGATGAAAAAGGAAAGACTGAGGAAAAGAAAGAAAAGAAAGAAAGAAAGAAAAGAAAAAGAAAGAAAGAAAGAAAGGGATGAATTGTAAAGGAAAGGGCGGTAGAAGGAGAAAAATAAAAAGTAGAAGATGAAAAGGAAAGACTGAGGAGAAAGAAAGAAAGAAAGAAAGAAAGAAAGAAAGAAAGAAAGAAAAAGAAAGAAAGGGATGAATTGTAAGGGAAGGAAAGAGAGCGGTAGAAGGGAGAGAAAATAAAAGTAGAAGATGAAAAAGGAAAAGACTGAGGAGAAAGAAAGAAAGAAAGAAAGAAAAAGAAAGAAAGAAAGAAAGAAAAGAAAAGAAAAAAGGGATGAATTGTAAAGGGAACGGGAGTGAGGAGGTAGAAGGAGAAAATAAAAGTAAAAAGATGAAAAAGGAAAGAAAGAAGGAAAAAAAAAAAAGAAAGAAAAGAAAAGAAAAAAGAAGGAAAGAAAAGTAGAAAAAGAAAGACTGAAAAGAAAGAAAAAAGAAAAAAAAAGAAAGAAAAGAAAGGGATAGAGAGTGTTATGAGATTGTCAATAGAGATATGTAGAAAAGACAAAGAGAGGAGAAAAATGAAATAAAGAAAAGAAAGAGAAAATAATGAGATGATAAAGAGAGAAAGTAAAGAATGAAATGTAAAGTAGAAAAAAAGAAAGAGAATAAAGAGATCATGAATATACACAGGAGAAATTCAAAGAGGAAAAAGAAAAAAGTGAAAGAAAGAAAGAAAGAAAGAAAGAAAGAAAGAAAGAAAGAAAGAAAGAAAGAATGAAAGAAAGAATGAAAGAAAGAGAAAAACATAATGAGATCATTAACAGAGCAATAGAGATAAACTGAAAAGAAAGAAAGAAAGAAAAAAAGAAAGAAAGAAAGAAAGAGAAAATAACATAATGAGATCATTAACAGAGCAATAAAAATAAACTGGAAAGAAAGGAAAAAAGAAATAAATAGATAAATAAAGAAAGAAAGAAAAAAGAAAGAGAGAAAAACATAATGAGATCATTAATAGATGAATAAAGATAAACATAAACTGAAGAAAAGAAAGAAAGAAAGAAAGGACAGAAAGAAAAACAATCATAAAACCATGAAGTCAAAGAAAGAAAGAAAGTAAGAAAGAAAGAAAGAAAGAAAGAAAGAAAGAAAGAAAGAAAGATGGTACAAATAAAGCCACTATGGAGAGAGGAAGTTAAAAAATAAAAAAAGCGAAATGATGAAATTTATGAAAGGAATAACAAAACAAAAAAAGAAAGGAAGAATGAAAAAGCAAAATGTGAAACGAAGAAAGAAAAAAAGAAAGAAAAAGAAAATAAGAAAGAAAAAATTAAGAAAGAAAACATTAAAAAACATCATCAACAAATTCATTCCCACCCCAACCGTGCTATAAAATCCCTTTTAACACAAAACACTGTAATTATGGCATAGAGTTTCTTTATTGGACAAACATGGCCCTTCAAGCCTGCAAAAAAAAAACAAAAAAAAACGACAGATTTTTTATTGACATTATTATTATTATTTTAGTTACCTTCACTCTTCAACAAAGTTTAGTTTTAAAAAGCAAGGAGTAGACGTATAAAAACTTATTGTATGATAACAAGGAATTTATACATTTTCTTTGTTCTCAAGAATTTATACCAAAAATAATAAACATTAATTATTTATCAGATTGTTTATTTACACTATTTATTATATTGTTTATTGGAAGGGTTGACAAAAAATCAATCAACTCAAATCTTATAAAATGGTAAATAAGGATTTTCTTACAGTTGGTTTTATATTTTAATAGTAAATGTTTATAAATTTATGAATAAAAAATTGTTTTCATATTTACTTCTTTATAAATTGGTAAATATTGCATTGCATTAGTTTTAATTGAATCAGTTTTTAGAATGTTGTAAATATAAAATTATTCTTGTAAATAAACAATCAAATAAATAGTGTTTTATATTTTTGTTGTAAATTCTCAGGAACAAAAATGTGTAAATTCACTTTTATCATGTGTTTAGGTATTATTCCAATTCTAATCATTGCTTTATAAATAAACATTGCCGAGGAATAGTTAAAATAAATGCAGTGTCATGGGAAAAAACATCTTTTTGACACTTCATTATCTTCAGGAATGAAAGTCCATGTTTGTCGATTATTGTTTAAACCATCCAGCTAAAAAGGACCACATTGAAATCAACCAATGAAGAATTAAAAGTCTCTGAAAAGGATGAAATTTCAAAATGGGGTCAACAGAAGTCAAATGAGATGGAAGAATCTCTAGAATGTTTGTTAGACTTAAAGACAAGCTGGTGTCTTGGTCAAGGTTAGATAATAATGCCTTCAAAGCAAAAAATAAAGTCTGCTTTTTTTTTTATTTTGGGCTTCAAGGATCAAGACCTCTGACTCTGCTGACAGATACTCACAGTTAATTTATGGCGAGTAAAGATAAGATAAACTGATTTCTTCACCTCAAGACATTTTGCAGTTTAGGGAGATTTTCCACCTGGAGGCCAGAATAGAATCAAGGGAAGATAATCACCATAACAACGACAATTATAATTTATACTTGGATTTTTGTTTCTTGTTCTCATCTTTTTTTTTTTGCTAGAATTAATTTTGAAAACACGTTTTATTTTTTGGGAGATATTTTTAAGTGTTCTACAAATCTGGGATATTTTTTATGGGTACATACACAATGAATTTTCAAACAGTACCTTCAAAACGTAGATGATTATAGCTCTCCACAACTTATTTTTTGCAGCTCATCTTTTTAATATCACTCTTTCTCCCTGTTCTGCTTACTTTTTTTCCTCTGTCCCTCTTGCTGTCAATATATCCTTATCCGTATCAATTTCTCCAGGCCTTCTTTTCTCATTATGTATCCCTAAAATTCCACTTGTCTCTTCCTGATTTTATTTATCACTGTCCTTTTTTCTTTCATTATCTTATAAGATTTCCTCATTGGTTAGATGCTCCATCCCTGGCATTCTCATCATCCTTCTGTAGAACAACTTCTCTTGCTTCAAGTTTCTTTTCCATCAGTTAGGAAATTGTCCAGCATTCACAGACATATAGGAGATTAAATATTACCTAGGAGTTCAGTTTCTTTATTTCTAGCAAAATTTTCCTGTTTCTCAATACTTTGCTTAGCTTTTGGAAGGCATCTTTTTGGATTTTGTTGCCCCATTTTTTAACGTCATTTTTAAAACTTTCCCCAGATAATTAAACTTTTGAACTTGTTTGATGTTGACATTTCTAATTCATAACTTGCGTCTTGGGCTTCATCTCTTGCCAACAATACGTTTTGTCGTTTTACAATTGATGGTTAGACTTTTCTTCCTGCTATCCTTTGCAATTTTTTCATTGTCATGTGAGTACCTTATCTTATTATCATTGTACTCACCAGTAATAAACCCTGGTAGGATTCTCAGTTTCCTTTGACCGTTCTGGGTATGACGATAAACTACATCCATGTCCTCGGTATGACGATAAACTAGATCCATGTCCTGGGTATGATGATAAACTACATCCACGTCATGGGTAAGACGATAAACTGCATCCAACAGCAAGGCCTCTGATCAAGAGGTTTTGAGGAGCATGGAACCACCTCCTAATTGCTGGTCTTCCCAGGTCTACCCTGACCCAGGGTGGTAGCACCTGTTAGGGTCCCAGCTATGGACAAATAGTTAACCCTGAAACTGGGGTAAAAACACTATGAAAGTGTAAAAATAGGTTTTAATACCAGAAATACTTTAAAAAATTATTACCAGCAATAAATTTTGGAAGTAAAAAAAAAAACTATTACCAGCAATACATTTTTGAAAAAAAATATTACCAACCATGTTTTTAAAAAATAAATACTGCTAACAATGCATTTTTGAAAAAAAAAAATTATCAGCAATACATTTTTGAAGGAAAAATATTACCAGAAAATAGATTTTTGACACAAGAAAATATTACCCACAATAAAAATTTTGTCGGCATTAAATAACCCATTGAGGTTGACTATTTACATTGTTCAGACTATTGTCCTCATCTTTGTTGCCAAATTTATCACAACGTTTCGGCAGTTGTATGCTCCAGCCTTCTTCAGGTGGCTGGAATGTTGAACTGAACCATTTATTTTGCTCACTGGGGTAGACTGTTCTAGTCCCATGTGCCATGTGACAATAGTCCGAATAATGTAAATAGTGTACATAATACCTCATCTCAGAAATATAGACAGATACTGAAGGATCGGATAAATATGGCAACAAAGATGAGGACAATAGTCTGAATAATGTAAATAGTGTACATAATACCTCATCTCAGAAATATAGACAGATACTGAAGGATGGGATAAATATGGCAACAAAGATGAGGACAATAGTCTGAATAATGTAAATAGTGTACATAATACCTCATCTCAGAAATATAGACAGATACCATTGAGGTTGATATGCCGTAAAACAAACCAAACCAGAAGAGCCTTATTGTAAAGGTTGAATATATCTGGTGAGACAACATCTCCTTGCTTTACAGACTTTCTATTTTTGTGCAATTACTAGATTAATTTTCCGTCTGTTTGGATGTGGTTTGCTTCCAGTATCAGTTCTGGAAGATTCCAACATCACTCAAGCATAAAAGAAAGTAATTCTTCAAGCTATTAAACTTTAACGCATTGGTTCTCAACCAAGATCCATATGATCCATGGGGGTCAACATGATTTCTTGGGGACCATATAAGACTTTTTGGGTGTTCTTGCAAAGAAAATAGTAAATTGAGGGTTAGTATTTTAGTGCTCAATGAAAAATTTTTGCTTCAGACATCAAGAACTGCTGCTTTGTAGAATCGTCTCCCAGCAGGATGTTTTCCGAATTACTACAATCTTGACCTCTTCAAGTCTAGGGTTAACCATTATCTTTCTTGCAGAGTTCCACGATCTTCACTTTTTGCTTTTTCTTATGCTCATATAAGATCACGCATTAACTCTCTAGCTTAAGTGGCTCTTGGGCTCTGTACTGGCTGGAAATTAATATTAACAAAAGATATTTTTGCAAGATCTGGAATAATGGATAGCAGCCTCGGTTTGACTTATGTAAATAAAAAATCCATTCCTTTTGTTACAAATTGTTTTGTTTTCATTAAGATACGAAATTGAGCAGGTATGTCTCAAGGTATTTCAAGAGTCAGAGAAAAATCTGTTATTAAAGGGAATATTCAAGCTTGCTTGCTTGTGGATGCCCTCTGTAGCCGAGAAGCCAATCTAATGATGATTTCCCCTCAGGGAATGTAGGTTAGAATCTTGTTGGGGAGAGCATATTTTTCTCAAAGAAGATGTCTCAAATATTCAGGCCAGTAGATAAAAATAAATATACTGTTTAATAAAAAATGGATCATCTGCTCAAATATGGGTATCCACTAAAAATAATGTTTAAATAATAAAAATCTGCTGGATTAATAAATATAAAAAAAAATCCATCCGTTTCTTTAGAAATTGCTTTGTTTACATTGGGATACAAAACTGAACAGATATGTCTATTTCAAGAGTCAGACAAAAATCTGTGTTTAAAAGCATTGTTCAACTTTGCTTCCTCATTGGAGCCCTTTGTAGTGGGGAGGTTAAAACACATCAGATCTAATGATGGTTTTCCCTAGGGGAACACATGCTCAAATCCTGCAGAAAAGTGCATATTTTTCTCTAATAAGATGGCTCGAATATTCAGGCCAGTACATGAAAATAAATATACTGTTTACTAAATACATGGAGCATCTACACAAATATGAGTACCCACTAAAAATAACATTTAAGTAATAAAAATTCACTTAAGTGCAAATAAACATGGAAAAGGTAATGAATCCATCTCTTCTTCCCCCCAGCTATGGATAAAATAGCAGGGCAGACTTTTTTTTAATTGGATGTATAGGTTGTGTGTATGTTTCTTGAGTTATAGGGATGTTTTATTTTCCGACCACTGTTAGCACATTGTGGCCATGTTCGTAGTTAATATTATATTGTGTTGGCTTTTTCTTTTTTATTTACATCATTGTATTATATACATTATTTGGACAGATTCTACACACAAGAAAAATTAAATAAAAAATTTAATCCCAGTATCTTGTGTGTCATCGTTAATGAAACATGTATAAATGAAGGATTGCTGCCGAAATACACAATATATATATATATATATATATTGTGTATT